GATAGAAATTCTTATTCTCCGTACATAGGATATTATCAAAATACACAGTCCATTAATTTACAACGAATAAACAAAGATGATGATGCCATTTCATTAAATAGTCGCAATGATAATTTATATCCATCTCCACAACATTCACATACGTCTTCTATATGTTCAAATATAGGAGAAGCAATTCTTTTCAGCTATCAAGAAGATGAGAATATATATACCAATGAGCAGAACGTTTCATAGCATTTCTTTTTTTAAGTTGCTTGTTTTTTTTTTAATAATATATTTTTTTGTAATATATGTAATAGGTATTTTTATTATTTGCCTAGTAGAATATAATTTTATAAGTTTGCCTTTTAATAATATAATTACAAATGTATTACAAATGTATTTCTAATAATAAATTGTTATAGTATGTATTTTTGAATAATGTTAACTTATTTGTAACTATTTTATTATCATTGTTATAAATTATAGTGTTGTTTACGACTTACAGTATTTACTGGGTTAATTGCATATAATTCAATTTTAAAATGTATGATTTTAACATTGTAATTCTATAAGAAATAACTACGTATTCCTTAATATATAGGTAAATTTGTCTACGTAACAAATTTGTATAAATTTACTGTATTTTTAAAACATTAGAACATATAAATACATTTAAGCTAAAGAATTATATATATAATAGTAGTATCTATTTTGTTATACTAAGTAATTAAAATAATACAAATAGAATTATAATCTAGTTTAATATTATCTTAATACAAATCTTATTTGTGTACTAATTATTTTCTGTTATAGTATTATAAAATAATAGTAGAGTAACTACTAAAATTAAATAAATTGTTCAAAAATACAGTATACAGTATTTGATCTTTATTTTTTTTTTTTGTAGATTAAATAATTTTTTTTTTAAATTGTAATAATATTTTAACAAAAGAGACCAAATTTAAAAATTTTCAAATACTAAACATAGTATATTTCATCCAGATTTATATTATGCCAACTTTTTTTAACAAACCTTTTTTTTTTTTTTTTGTTATTACCAAAATATATAACCTTTAAAATATATAATACGTATTAGAAGCTTAACAAATTATATCAATACACCCAATTAAATCTCACGGTTAGATGTAAAAATAGCGATTCTTTAAAAAATCTCCCGTAACACAAAATTTTAACAATGTCTAAACTGATCGATTTAGCCTGCACTAAAGTAATTTATCAAAAATTATTAATTTTGGCTGGAAATCGAAACATTTTTCACTTAACATTAATGAATGGTTGCAGTTTCATTACGTACGTATGTAGTATAGTTTTGTACAATTTCGGCCTAGCGCTAGTTCTGTGCATTAATTAAAAATGTCTCCTGCGAATTTTAACCCTACTCCAATATATCGTTTCATTTTGACGAAATTTGATTGGATGTACTATATGATTTGCTGAATTTTGGTGTCACCGCTAATCTGTTCACTTTGACCCTCGTGATGATGGTACGTGTAGTGATTGGGTGTATGTTGCACAATACGTAATCATGACTCAAATTTTGTGAACACGATTTGATTTACTATAGGTGAATTACACGATAAGTTTGGTACGACGAGATAGCATTTTCTTTTACCAAGATTCTTCAGATATTTCATGAACATCAACATATAATATATATTAAAATACGTATGCATAAATAAAGTTGCGCAAGCGCATAATGTAAATCCAGTTGGAGTTTTAAATTGACAATTTATATAAGATCAAGTACAGAATCAAGGTTATACTCTTAATTAGTCTCTGGCTCTTTTAAAATACAATGCCATCAAATCTTTCTGCTACTTTATTGGACGATATTGCTCGATTATATATTGATGCTGATGATTATAACGTCATTATCACTGCTGGACAAGGTGATGATGCTAAAGTTTTTAAAGCTCATACTGTGATTTTACGATCGAGGTCTTCTTATTTCAGAGTTGCATTATCATCTAATTGGGCCAAGAAAATACCGTCACAGTATAATCACGGTTTTCATACTCAATGTGACGCTTTATATTTTAATAAACCTAATATTTCACCAAAGGTTTTTGAGATTATCTTAAAGTATGTTCAATTTGAAAAATATAGAGGCTTTTTGCTTTTTAAGAATCATTATTAACGTTAAAACCGTAAATTTAAAAGATACATCTACACTGGGACGTGTTTCCTCGAATCAAATGATATTCTTCTTGATATATTGATCGCTTCAGATGAATTTGGACTCTTTGAATTAGTCAATTACGTACAAGAATATATTATTTCTGACGAAACCGGGTGGTTGCACGAGAATTTTGTTAAAATCTTTAAAGTTGCATTAAGGCATGATGAATTTCATCTGCTTCGAGAACATTGTGGAGAACTTATCAGTCAACAACCTGAATTACTTTTTAATTCAAGTGATTTTTCTACATTGGAAAAATCTTGTATGATATTTACTTTAAAAAGAGATGACATTGCTATGGATGAAATTGAGATTTGGGATCATATGATTACATGGGGAATAGAACAGCATCCACAACTTAATCCTGATATTTCAACTTGGACTCGTCAAAATTATGATACGTTACATGCAAGATTAAAGGAACTTTTACCATTAATTCGATACTTTGACATACCTGAGGATAAATTCTATGATAAAATTTGGCCATTCAAAAAATTTCTTCCAAGAAATCTTAAACAGTCATTGACAAGATTTTATATCGTACCTGGAATTGAACCACCTTCGTACGCTTTACCTCCGAGAATCGCACAGTATTCACCAAAATCTAAAATAGGATTTAATGGTTTACATGCGGCTCTTATCGCTAATTGGATTAATCATGAAGATAACGAAATACCAACAACAACTTCAAATATCACTCATAAATTTAAACTTTTACTTCGTGGTAGTAAGGACGGTAGAGGTGTTGTAACTTTTCATGATCTTTGCGATTTTAAAGGAGCCACAATAGTTTTGATTAAAATTATGGGAACAGGTGAACTTATTGGCGGGTATAATCCAAATTCTTGGACATCATCAGATAGATATGTTCGAACTACTGAAAGTTTTATATTCTCTCTTGGAAATAATACTCAAGATCCGAGTAATTATGTTTTGAGTAGGGTTAAGTTTGCTGAATTTGCAATAAGAGATTCTTCGGCAGTTAACACTTCTATCGGATTTGGAAACGACCTTTGGTGGTTCGAAGGAAAATGTATGCATTTTAATTATAACAAAAAAATACTTGGTACGCGACAATTTTTTTCCATGGAAGATTATGAAGTATTTCAAGTTGTAAAGAATGAATGATTATTGAAGCCTTTGAAATATATTTAGATAATTTTATTAATAAGTTTAGTATTTTCTTAATTATATATATCTTATTATCATTACTAGATCTTAAATAATATTAATATAAAATTAATAATAGGTTTAAGTATATAACACGTTTTTTATTGCTGATTGCAGGAATTATTTTAAAAAGTAGACAATCATGATGTAATAATACTGCGAATACTGCGCTGATATTGTGATTATGTAATTAGACTCCTGAACTTCATTTAAAATATATAATCATATATATAGTTGGATATATCTATATATATATATATATAATACCTTGACAGTTTCTCTTTATTAATAGATATGATACCGGTTGTTTTTATTGAATTGCTTTACCCTTGAAATTGAATCCAAAAATCATAAATAAAGTTAGTCTTTACTATTCAGATCGGATCCCATACAGGTTCAAGTCCCAAAGTCAGGATTAACCTGACCCTCTGTGATACGTTTGAGTAAGATATTTCTGGCACCGTTCATGTCTCTATCTATTTCTAAACTACAAGAATCACATCTAAAAATCTTGGATCCACCAAGTTTTTTATTGATCGATCCGCAGTTACCGCATGCTCTAGATGTGTATTCTTCGGTACATTCGATAACTTTACAACTCGCAAATTCCCTAGCTTTGTGGTGTAAAAACATCCTAAATCTATAATATGACCATGTCAGCATCATCCTCGCGGTCTTCGACCTGATCTTTCTCTTGTTTTTAAGAACCATGTTCGAGGTTTCGAATATTGGTATTAATATGATCTCATAATTCTCACATAACCAACGAGCAAGTTGATGATGACATTCGTTGATCAAGTTCCTAATTCTGACAATGATCCTATACATCTTTATATTCAATTTGTATCTTTTACGTTTATTTTTTCGTCCGATCACCAGGTCTTTGTCTTTTTGTAATTTATCATATTTCTTTGATAATCTAAATATCACCGTTACCCCACTCTACAACTCGACCATTAGGATCATAACCAGTCATAAAGGTATGTACACCCGGATCAAGTGATATCACTTTTCCTTTGACACCATCTTGATTATTGCTGATGTTTAAAGGAATGGATATACACATGTAAAAATGTCCTAATCTGTTCATGATTACATTCACGGTATGATTTATTTCTGGTGGTCTTTTTGACACGATCACGGTCTTAAGGAATGCATATTCTCCTCTGTTCCTGTTCCAATCTCTCGCCAGTATTGAGATGGTTTGCAAACGATCTTTTTTTGTTTTGTATTTCATTCTAAAATTATTACCATGTAATTTCTTGTTCGTCTTAAACGTGCTCATCAACTGCCTGATTACGTACAACCTCACTTCCCTTGGTGTTTCCTTTACCCATAACAATTCTTCGTTTGCAAAACATTCATCGTTCAAGTAATGCTTCCTTATAATGTTCATATTACTTATCTTTATCATCTTGTAACATTTCAAGAACTTTGTTGTAGGTCCACCTCACAGTTCCCATCCATTTTCTTAATTTTTCTCTTTCTTCCAATGTTGGGTATATTTGTATCTTTCGAGTTTTTAGTTTCTCTTTGTCATTTCCTGTTCTGAGCTGATCTGAGTCCATTGTGTCTTGCTGTGAAGATAGTAATGATGGATAATAGATCCTCGGCAAGCTTTCCGGATTCTGTATCATCAACGTTGACATCCGAACTGAGTACCAAGATCTTTGTATCGTTCTTACCAAAGATCTATTCGACAAGTTTGTAAGTGAACCGACAGAATCGATCCTTCCTGGCAACCACAACTTCATCGATATCTTCTTGGAATGATCGTTCCAGAATGGACGTAAAACCTTTACGTTTCCAATTGAGCCGTGATCCGATGTCCTTGATGAGTTCGTGATCTGGGTATTTCTCCATGAGGTGTTCACATTGTCTGTCGAGATCTTCTTTCTGTTTATCTGAGCTAACTCTTGCGTAACAGATCTTTTTCTTTTCATTTACTTTTCTTGAAATATTTTTTCCAAGTCCGTCACTGAATACAGCCTTTTTCCACCAGACGTTCTGATGCTTGATATTTTTCCTTGGTTGTTTCACCGTCTTAATGTTTCAGATGAAACCTCGTATGTTTTTCGAATTTTTTGTGCTTCGCGATATTTTGTTGTTGACTTTATCTTACTCAAACGTGTGGCAATTGGACTTATTTATACCCGATAAAGAATATTGGGTAAACATTACATCATAACCAATGCTTACCCAATATTCTTTATCATTACTAATTAAAACATATGGGCTAATCGGAGACATTGGGCCTAGCGATGGGAATTTCTAATTGTTAACTATATAAATCATGTTAACAATTAAATTGTTAAAATGATTTATATATAAAT